CTGAGAGACCAAGAGTCTTTTTTCCTCTCCCATAGTGGTTGTCTAGAAAAATAACAGTTCCCTGAGCATATGTATTGACTACTGCACCCTCAACAGACAGACTATTTCAGTCCAGTACACTACCCTGTGGATAGAGAATGCTCTGCAATGCCTATCGGAGGCAAAGTGGTTTAGTATGTTGGATCTAAGGAGTGGGTATCATTAGATTCGCATGTACTCTGAAGCTAAGAAGAAGACAACTCTCATCTGCCCATTGGGGCTTTACAAATTTGACAGGGTGCCCCAAGGTTTAGGTGCTGGTGTACATCTATGACATGATCATCTTTGGCAGCACCCTTGAAGAACATGAGGAGTGCCTAGAGAAGGCCTTGAAGAAATTCCATGACGAAAGACTGAAGCTCCCCCTTGAACAGTGTCAGTTCTATGCGCAATCTGACATCTCTATATACAGGATGAATGGTCTTCATGAGCAGGCCTTTGTCAGCTAAAGCAGAGTTTGACCAATGCCCCTATTCTGGCCTACTCTGACCCAGCCCCATCATATGAGTTACATATTGATACCATCAAAGATTGAATAGATGGGGTGTTATACTAAGAACACGACAAACACCTATGACCTGTTGCCTGATGACCTGATGACCTGATGTGAGACTTAACCTCGCTGGAAAGTTCTTTCACACTCACAGCCTAAAATTCCTTGCCTGGAAGTGGGCAGTAGTGGATAAGTTGAAGGATTATCTGTATGGCACAAACTTCGAGGTCAAGACAGATAATATTACACTCAATGTTCAAGAGAGACTGAAAGGGCCGCTGCAGCTGTCACCTTTTCCTGGCTACAAGTGAACAGAGAAGCAACTGTGTGGATAGAGGAGAGATACAAAGGACACTAAAAGGCTGCACCTGCAGCTATGTCTGCCCAAAGCCCTGCCCACTGCCTGGGACCGCAACAGGAGAGCAGTGATTGGCTGCAGCACTGCCTGAGGGAAGGAAAGCCAGTCCAGCTGAGGAAGGACTGCTGGGAGCTGAAAGGACTGCTGAGTGAGGGGTGTAGTTCCCAGGAGGAGAGCCTGATCTAGTAAAGAACATTGTAGGGCTACAAGTTCCAGGGAGGAAGTGCTACAGAGGAAGGATGAAAAGGTGTCAGGGTACAGATCTGAGCCTGGTACGTCTGCAGTGTCTGGCTATAACTCCTCTTGCTGTGCCGCCTGAGATTCTGGACAACACCCTGTCTGATCCATTGGACAATCTGGCTTTGTACCTTGCTTCTGGTGAACCTTGAACTCTTTGTTCCTCCCATGAACTTCCTGATTTAAGCCATGTCTCTGCACTTCCTGTTTGCCAAATTATTGTGCTCTTCTCCAGCCGATATCTTGCTCCTTTGCATAACTGCAGCTGCCCTTATCTTTGCTACCACTCATTATCAGCCTTGCTTGTTCATTGACTATGCTTCTGTCCAATCCCCTCCAGCTACCACTTGTTACTGACCCTCGGCTTGTTCATAGATTGTTTCTGCTTGTTCCTTATGTTCTTCATTTAATACCTGACTTCTGCTTGCTCTCTTACTGTTGGGGAATTCCTCAGGGACAAGACCTGCCATTAGCATGCACCGAAACCCATCTCCACCATCAGGAGCTCTGGTGAAGACAGACTAGTGCTTAGACCCCATGCCTCGCGGGAGCTTGTGTCTTCTCCTAGCAGATCTATATGCGTATTTATCCAGCTGACTACTCGTGAATCTCACAATTGCTACAGCCACTGGCCTCAGAGCCTGACTCCAGACCATGACAAAACGACTGGAAAACCAGTCTGAAGCTCAGGACTCAATCTTATGTGGAAGGAAAGAAGGGAAAAGCAGTGCTACATGAAGCTGCTAGTGCGCTGCTGACCATTCTGACTCTACCAAGGCTGGTGATGCTGCTACATGCCAATGTTTCCCTGTGCCACTGGACCGGGACTGTACTGCTCCCATCCAGAGGTTGCTGTTGCTGGAAGGATCACCAAGTTTGCACAGGGGACCGGGCATCAGAGCAAAGGGACCAAGTAAGCTATGGGAGAGTACTGCATCAAGAACATCTTTAGCTTTGCCAGGTATTGCTGCAACAATGAGTCTGATTGGTGAGAGACCTTTGGCCACCCTTTTTGCTACCCTGCTCTTAAAGAGACAGCACCACTCCAATTAAGGTCTGCTGGGATTTAATTTGAGGATTATCCCCCTATTTTCATCGGGATGACTAAAATTCAGTTTAAAAGCACTTCAATATCATCTTGGGTTCCAACTGGGCCACAGTAAGGTACCACTGGCCAAGGGGAAGGTTAAGGAAGGACTTCTAGCTTCTGAGTGAGTATATCCCGTACTAGGATGACATTTTTAGTAAAGACCTAGGAGGTGAGGATCTCAACTCCAAAGCCAGGTTTCAGGTACCTTGTGAAATTGTGTTTAATGATACCCTGTTTGCAAATTGTTACCCTATCTGATACCCGAGTTGATACCCCAATTGCAAAACTGATATTTGCCCTTTGTTTGCAATTGTTTGCTGTTGTTCTCACTATTATTTGCTGAGCATGTAGCCCAAATAAACACCCTTTCATCAGTCTTCTTGTATTGGAGGACATGGTACACTAGAAGGTTCACTGTCACTGGGAAACTAGGGACCCAATCATCCAGCGGCTCCTTCAAGGCTAGCACTACATAAGGCTTGACATGTTTGGTATTTATTTACTCACAGCTAAATGTTTTACATTTTACCCAAAAATTGCATAATATTTTGTGTCTGCAGGCACTAAAATGAACTTTATTTTTAACAGAAAATTTGTGCTTGATAAATCATTGCGCTAATATTGTGTGACATAAAAAAATCTGGAACTATCACCATATTATTCTTCAGGGTCTATGTTTTCAGAAAATACTGTATACACTGTTTGGGGGTTTTAACTAATTTTCAAAATGATTTTGTAACATGCGTCCAAAAAATGCAGAAACAATGCTGCTGTGAAAGGGTTAAAAGGGTAAACATGGGGACATGTGCACTGCAGTGATGTACAAAACATGCTTTTATTTTTTGCCTTGACATACTCTTTAGGGGTGTAAATAAGGTTCAGTAGGCCACTATTTTCAATATAAAACTGACACCAAGAGCAACAGGAGAAAGGACAACCAACATTATGTGAATTTAAACATGCTCACCCTCCCAATTGTTGACAAAATTAGTGTTCCCCTGCCCTCCAACACAGTCCTCCCCTGGAACTTGAACAAAAAGAACTCATTAGCGTGCCCAAGAAATATAAGAAACCCTCAGATGATTGCAGGGCTTTTTCCCAGAGAATAGGTGCAAGAACTCCACCCTTCTGGGTCACTTCTTGTCCCACCCCCCACCCACACCTCCAAGCACCGTCCCTTGGATTCACCCCCCTACCCACCTCCCAGTACTGCCCCTTTTAGAGAATACAGAGCCCAGTATAATGTTGTGGTGCCAAGCAATTTGTACGGAATTTGTTAAAAGTAACAAGAAAAGCAGTAAAATAGATCCCCCACAGCCAGCAGCAAAAGACCATCCCCAGCAACGATAGACCCTACAGCAACCATGGACTCCAGCAACAATGGATTCCCAGGCAGCAACAACAGATTTCCTCGCAGATAGCAACAAAAGACTCTCTAGCAGCCAGCAACAATAGACCCCTCCCTCAACAGTACATCCCTTACAGCAGTGGTCTCCAAGCCCTTTGCTTGCCTTTATCTGGCCCTTGAGGCATTATTCCGGCCACTGACACCAGCAATGGGGCATAATTCCTACCACTGACACCAACAATGGAGCACTATTCCTTTCACTCACACCTACGATGGGGCATAATTCCTTCCACTGAAAACTAAAATGGGACACTATTCCTCCCACTGACACCAACTATTTATCCCCCTAATACCAAAGATTGGGCACTGTTTACTCCCACTGGACACAATGTGGTCCTCCTAAAGTCTGAAGGACAGTAAACTGGCTCTTTCTTTAGCCCTGCCTTATAGCAACAATTGACCCCACAGCAATAATAGACTCATGCAAAATCAGACGCCCTCCAGCAACAATAGATCCCCCAGAAGCCAGCATCAATAGACCCTCCAGCACACCCCAGAACACCTTGCTATTATATACATTCAGTGATGGAAGTTACCACTGAAAAAAACCCCTGGTGATTGTACCATTTTCTTAAATCAGGTTTTTATGGACTGATTTATTAATAAATACATACTAGATACCAAATACTATTGCAAAGTTAAAAGCTGTATTAAGGTGCACCTGTCATGCAGAAAAATATGGAGGTTACCATTCCTGATCTCCTTTTGAAAATGTTAGTTATTCATTTGTTATGCTGACTCACTGATGTAATTCTCTGACCTGGAACAAATCTACAGGCTGACCAGGCAACCAGCATTTTCTGAAGTAAAACTCAACAATAGCAACCTCTAATTTTCCTTTAATTAAATGGATGATTGTCACATTTTCCTTTCAGAACTGAGATGCGGACGGTCCTGACAATTAAGAAGGAGCTTGCCTACCAGTGCAACATGACCTTACACCAGTCGGAAATCATGAACTTCCTGAAGGAGGAACATTATGACATTGCGGTGGTGGACGCATTTGACCCCTGTACTTTCCTGGTCTGTGAGAAGCTGGGACTCCCATTTATTGCTTTCTTTCCTACAATAATGGCCAATGCTTACCGTGTAGGAATGCCGAGTCCTCTGTCCTATATTCCATTGTTCCAGACTCAGCTCACTGACCAGATGGATTTCTTTGGGCGTTTAAAGAACACATTGACTTTCTTTGTTTCATTAATAATCCAGAATAAGATGGACTCACCGTATGATGGTGTCATTGAAGAACATTTTCCTGCTGAGTCTAGACCAAAATATACCCGATCTTCACTTGAAAGCCGAGCTCTGGCTGTACAACGTAGACTTCACCCTTGAGTTTCCTCGTCCACTTCTGCCTCATGTTCAGTACATTGGGGGATTATTGGCCAAACCTGTAAAACCAATATCACACGTAAGTATGGCTGAATGACCTTCGTTTTAGCCCCTTGCCTACCGAGCACTTTTACCCCCTTCCTGCCCAGGGCAATTTTCAGCTTTCAGTGCTGTCACACTTTGAATGACAATTGTGCAGTCATGCAACATTGTACCCATATGAAATTGTTATCATTTTTTTTAACACAAATAGAGCTTTCTTTTGGTGGTATTTAATCACCACTGGGTGTTTTATTTTTTGCACTATAAACAAAAAAAAGAGAAAACAATTTGAAAAAAAAGTTTCTCTTTGTTTCTATTATAAAATTTTGCAAACAGGTAATATTTGCGCCTTCACTAATGTGCATTGATGAGGCTGCACTGAAAAGCAACACTGATGGGCACTGATAGGCTTCACTGATGAGGTGGCACTGATGAGGCAGCACTGGTGGGCATTGATGAGGAGGCACTGATGATGCTGCACTGAAAAGGTGGCACTGATAGATGGAAGCACTGACTTGCGGCACTGCTAGTCACTGATGGGCGGCACTGCTGGGAACCGATGGGAGCAACTGCTGGCCACTGATGGGTGGTAATGCTGGGCACTGGTGGGTGGCACTGCTGGGCACTGATCATCAGTGCCCTGATGATCAGTGCAGATGTCCTCTGTGCAGGGGCGGACTGACAACTCATGGGGCCCCCAGGCAATAGGGGATCATGGGGCCCCTGTGTCCTTGCCCAAACTCAAAAAAGCCTATGAAAAAGGTACCAGGGGCATCTCATGGGGCCCCCTACTGACCCCGGTTCCTCGGGCAGTGCCCGAGTTTCCAAATGGTCAGTCCGCCCCTGCCTCTGTGTCATTTGCCAGTTATCAACAGTAGTTTCCTCATGCTGTGACAGCATGAGGAAAGTGCAGCGCATTACAGGCAACTGTATTTACTCGGTGATCTGCTGTGTCATTGGACACTGCAGATTACATAATAAAAGGCCGCTGTTATTGGCCTTTTACCTCATCATGTGATCAGCTGTGTCCGTAGGAGACAGCGATCACGGAGAGCGTCATGTGCGTGCCGCTTGGGGCGCGTTCTGTGAGGACGTCATATGATGCCCTCCTAAAACTGGACAACCGCGCTGTAGCCATCAATTGGCTATAGTGCGGTTGGCAGGTGGTTAATAAAACAAGCTAAAGGAATTTTAGACCTCATACATGTGGGCTCATGAAAAAAGGCGGTATTTTTTCTGCTAGAATTTGGTATAAAAAACACCTTTAATGTTATAATATGTATGTGTGTCTATGCGCATATGGTGTTTGAGTGTAAATTCTTTCTACTGTCCATAATATAAATTTACTCTGACTATTGGAATACTGTATATGTACATGCATCTGTGTGTTTTTATGCGCTTTAAGCACATTTACGCACATACACATGTTTTTATGCTCCTCTACGAACATGCCTTTTGTGCAATTTTTCTGCCATTAAAGTGTTACTAAACCCAGGACCCTGCATTCACTATATCTGGTCTCCCCGGACCCTGCATTCACTATATCTGGTCTCCCCGGACCCTGCATTCAGTATATCTGGTCTCCCAGGACCCTGCATTCACTATATCTGGTCTCCCCGGACCCTGCATTCACTATATCTGGTCTCCCAGGACCCTGCATTCACTATATCTGGTCTCCCCGGACCCTGCATTCACTATATCTGGTCTCCCACAGTACACAGAACATGGAAATTCAATTATTTTAATAAACTGCTATTTTCTAATTTTTAATCTAATCTAATTAGCTATTTTCTAATCTAATCCTAATCCTGTCTGTCTGTCTTCTTTAACCTCCACCCTGGTACATTATTTCGGTCTTGTGACTTCCATAAGTATCCTGCCGAGCACTGGTTAAAGCTTGTAGGAGGAATTTTCATTCTCCTCTCACTGCCGTATGAGATTTCATAACCCCTGACTTTTTTGTCTGGACAGTGCTGATTGGCCCTGTGCTGATCACATGCACTCTCCCAAAGAAAGAAAAAAAAAACCTCTCTTGCAATACACACTAAACTGAGCATGTGCAGAGTGTCCCCGAGACTGAGTTCTATCAGGAGATGAAATGGGGAATGTGGAGGATTAGAGAAGACAGGATCAAATATCCTTTCTACACTATGCAGAGGATTAACCCCTTAAACCACACTGAGTATAGAAAGCATGCTTTACTGCATATGAAGACTGATTTTACTGTTGTGGGTTTAGTAACATTTTAAAGTAGCACAGTGCTAAATAGCAAAAACTGGCCTGGTTATAAAGGGAGTAACATCTTCCAGAGCTGAAGTGGTTAATACCTGTACATAGCTTTAATCACATGTCTGAGCAGAATCCTAAGTCTACAGTAAGCCCAAATGCACAGTACACAGCTCCAGACAGGCAATGTGCCATTCATTCATCGACAAAAAACCAGACACTTCCTTACTGCTAAATTAAATGCACTCTATTTCATATATCATTAATTTCAGGATCTGGAAGACTTTATATCTGAGTCTGGAGATGCTGGTTTCATCGTGGTGACTCTGGGATCGATGTTGTCCTCACTACCTCTAGTGGAATTCCTCAAGGAGATGAATGGTGCATTTGCTAAGATCGAGCAGAAGGTGATCTGGAGGTATCAAAAGTCAAAGTGGCCACAAGAGGTGGAAATTGCTCCCAATGTGAAAATTATGGACTGGGTGTCACAGAACGATTTACTGGGTAAACATTGTACTATTATCGATGCAGAAAATGATCAGTCATGTTATTAATCAATAACATCATGGTTTCCATGGGACTGGCCCCTAATCCTGTCTGTCTGTCTTCTTTTAACCTCCACCCTGGTACATTATTTCGGTCTGTATAGTCATATGCCATAAATGGAGAATTAGTTGGACCTCATTTAGAATACTGTGTCCAGTTCTGGAGACCTCACTTACAAAAAGATAATGATAAGATAGAATGGGTCCAGAGATGGGGAACAAAAATGGTGAAAGGTCTGGGTGATAAAACATATCAATAGTGACTTTAGGAAGCTAACATGCACAATCTGGAGGAAAGAAGGGGAAAGGGAGACATGATTGAAACCTCTAAATACATCAAGGGAGTGAATATGGTTCAGGAGGTCAGGATTTTCAACACAAAACCAAAATCAAGAACACGGAGACATGACCTCAAACTAACTGGAGGAATATTCATAACTAATCTCAGAAAGTACTATTTTATGGAAAGAGTAGTTGATGGTCAGAAAAAACTTCCAGCAGAGGTAGTGAGCCAGTCAACAGTAAATAGCTTCAGACATGCTTGGGACAAGCGTAGATACAGTGTATATACTCAGACAAAAAAAGTTAACAACCCCCCCACAAAAAAACACAAAAAAACAAACAAACAAAAAAAACAACCACCCCCCACCATAAAACACACATACACACAAAACGGGCAGACTTGATTGTCTTTTTCTTCCAGTCTTTTTCTTCCATCACTTTTCTATGTTTCAAAATAGTTTATTTATTAATGGTGTTCCAAGTTGTAGTCATGGATTTGGACATGCTTGTATTAGAGGATTGGCATGTATCAAATATGAATATATTAGGATAACAATTCAATATGATAATGATCTGCACCATTTCGAAAAAGAATTTATACCACCCTTTTCTCAGTATTTTTTTTACCATAGAACAACCCTTTATTTAATTTTCAAATGTAAGGAACCCCTGCTAAGATATATATTATATCTACAGTATATATTATAGATATACTGTATATTCATAAAAGAATTAGGAATGAGGTGTACATAGCATCAGGGGTGGACTGACCATTTGGAAACTCGGGCACTGCCCGAGGGCCCGGGGTCAGTAGGGGGCCCCATGAGATGCCCCTGGTACCTTTTTCATAGGCTTTTTTGAGTTTGGGCAAGGACACAGGGGCCCCATGATCCCCTATTGCCCGGGGGCCCCATGAGTTGTCAGTCCGCCCCTGCTTAGCATATTTAACACCCAGAGTGGATATTTTTAACACTCCCCTGCTGTATATAGGAAAATGATGCTTAGTAATAAACATGAAAATAAAAAGTTAGTATTGACCAGTAGAGAAAGTAAGACACATTAAATGACAGTGCATCCTTAACATCAGTGGTCAGTAAAGAAATATATTTATTTATTACAGGCATTTATGCAGTGCTGGCAATGTATGCAACGTTTTCATATTGTATGTTTACATCAGTCCCTGTCCTCAAGATGCTTCAGTTGCCCATAGATGGATCAAAATTTGTCCGGTTCAGCAGGAAATAGATGAATTCTGATCCATGTATTGGCACGGTGGTTGTACAGAAGTTGATCTACCAATCGACTTCTGTTCAACTGCCCTGCTGGAAAATGTCCTCTTGATCAGAGCTGCAGACTGATCTGTGTATTCCGACAGTGGGGAAGCTTCCCCACTGTCTGAATACAATGATATTGCGGGATGATTCCCCATGCACCTGAAATGTGTGGATGTGGGAAACAGGTCAGTTTTTTCATTCAATCCGCTGGTTGTAAGTAAAAAAAAAAAAAAAACCCATATATGGCCAGCTTTACAGTCTAAGTTGAAGGAACCCTTAGCAAACCCTTGAGGAACCCAAAGTTGAAAAGGCTGAACTACAGAATTCATGCTAACTGAACATCACAAACAGTCATTACTGTGTAAAGGGTAAGGTAAGTGAGCGCAAACAGACAAAGCGAGCAGCTAACATACAGGGTAATCCTCAATACCTTGAACGTGAAATAAACAAAAATGGGGTATGTAGCGCTACAAAATATCAGACAAAGAGGGTGACACCATAAAAAGTAACAATAATGGACAAAATTGTTCATATGGTGTATCCAGAGGGCAGATGGATATGATCCTGTGACGTTCCAGATCCAACTCAATAGGATAGAAAAGAATAGTGCGGTTATGCGCACTAGACTCCCCTGGTGGTTAGTGTTTCCCTGGTGGTATAGGCGTCAGTTGGGTGGATCCCCTAACATGTTTCGAGCAAATGCTCGTTTTCACTTTCACCCCTTTGAAAACGAGCATTTGCTCGAAACATGTTAGGGGATCCACCCAATTGACGCCTATACCACCAGGGAAACACTAACCACCAGGGGAGTCTTGTTATTAGACCTGGGTGGCTGCTTTCATCCCTGGGGAATCTTGATATACAATTTCTGCTGATGATACCACTAGCCACCAGGGACATTTAAATCAGACCTGGATGAGTGTTTTTTATGCTGATGGAACCACTAGCCACCAGGGAACCCATGAGACGTGGATGTATCCCTTTTATGCTGATGTGAGTTCTTTCCTTCTGTCTGCTTATTTTACTTTGAATAAATGTATTTCACCATTGATACCTTCTTGCCTCCTGGCTCGTTTATAATGAGCTCTGCAAGGTGGTGATCTGGAATAAGGAACCAGTTGGTGCCGGGACAACGTTGGACCTACGGGTGAGTCTGAGGGGACCCCTATAAAAGGTGTGCACCACCATCCCTGAATGCCCGCTATGGTGACCAGATACTGCTCACGCTGCTGACCAGACCCTGATGTCCTGATGTGACCAGATGCTGCTCATGCTGCTGACCAGTCATTACTGTGATTTAAGCCTAGACATCTACTTTGTGATATCTAAGGCTCAGTGAGGTCATCACCCATGAAACCAGCTACATGTATTGTATACTCTGGTCCAGCTTATATTTCCCAACCTCCCTCTCCCTCCCCTCTCTTCTGGTCATCCCTCCCCTCTCTTCTCATGATCATTCCCTCCCCTCTCTTCTCCTGTTCATTCCCTCCCCTCTCTTCTCATGATCATCCCCTCCCCTCTCTTCTCATGATCATCCCCTCCCCTCTCTTCTCCTGTTCATTCCCTCCCCTCTCTTCTCCTGTTCATTCCCTCCCCTCTCTTCTCCTGTTCATTACCTCCCCTCTCTTCTCCTGTTCAATACCTCCCCTCTCTTCTCATGATCATTCTCTCCCCTCTCTTCTCCTGTTCATTCCCTCCCCTCTCTTCTCCTGTTCATTACCTCCCCTCTCTTCTCCTGTTCATTCCCTCCCCTCTCTTCTCCTGTTCATTCCCTCCTCTCATCTCCTCTCTCACCTTACCCCTCTTAACCCGCTCTTCTCCACTTTATTACTCCCCTTCCCTTCAGTGCTGTACTAAGGGCCGGGTTTCAAACCCTCCACAGTTGTTTTACTGACAAATCTGGGGAAATTTACTGACACTACACATTTTTTTGCTGACAACTTAAAATATAATAGAAACTCCCATTAGAAAGGAAACCAATAAATATTTAAACAATATATTTACTATGTAAACAGTACCATTACCCATAAAAAATTATCTGCCCAGCTTAGGGCCTTGTTTAGACTTAGAGGGGAAAAATAGACAGTGTTAGAGGGGGAGGAGAGCGATAGAGGAGGAAAGGGGGGGGGGGAGAGATAGAGTGATAGATGGGGACAGAGAGAAAGAGACAGAAGAGAAAGGATAAGGGGGAGAGAGGGAGATGGAGAAGAGAGAGGGGAGGGAAGAGACAGAGAGAAAGGGGGGGTGGGAGAGAGAGAAGGGCTCCATGCAGCCAATATCTCTTGCACGTGCCCATACTCCAGGTTAAGTTCTTCTAAATCAGGCTGTGCTCCACTCTTTCTCCCATCCAGCTTAGCTCCATTCTGTTCTGCTACTTCTCCCCAAGCTCACTCAGCTCTGCTCGTTCTCCCACCAAGCTCAACTCTGCTCCACTCCTTCATCCACCAAGCTCAGCTCCACTTTGTTCTACTTCTTATTTCCAGCTCAGTTTAGTTCAGCTGTACTGCTTCTTCCCCAGCTCAGCTCTGCTTCATGTCTTCTCCCACAGCTCAGCTCTGCTCTGCTCCTTTTCCCCTAGCTAAGCTCAGCTCTGCTCCTTCTCCGAACCCAGCTCAGCTCTGCTCCAATCTGCTTATTCTCTCCTAGCTCAGCTCTGCTTTGCTTCTTCACCCCCAGCTCAGTTCTGCTCTTCTTTCTCCCCCCGCCTCAGCTCTGCTCTGTTCTTTCTCCTACTCAGCTCAGCCCAGCTCCACTCCAATCTGCTTCTTCCCCCGCAGCTCAGCTCTGTTCATTCTCCACCAGCTTAGCTCTACTCTTTCTCCTCTAGCTCAGCTCTGCTCCGCTCATTCTCCCACCCAGCTCAGCTCCACTCCAATCTGCTTCTTCTCCCCTAGCTCAGCTCTGCTTTGCTTCTTCTCCCCCAGCTCAGTTCTGCTCTTCTTTCTCCCCAGCCTTAGCTCTGCTCTGTTCCTTCTCCCACCCAGCTCAGCTCTGCTCCACTCCTTTTCCCCAGCTCATCTCTGTTCAGCTCCTTCTCCCATCCTGCTCAGCCCAGCTCCTCTCTATTCTGCTTCTTCTCTCACAGCTCAGCTCTGCTCATTCTCCACCTGCTCAGCTCTTCTCCACTTCTTTTCCCCAGCTCAGCTCTGCTCCACTCCTTCTGCACCAGCTCAGCTCTGCTCCACTCCTTTTCCCCAGCTCAGCTCTGCTCCACTCCTTTTCCCCAGCTCAGCTTTGCTCCACTCCTTTTCCCCAGCTCAGCTCCGATCCTTCTTCCCATAGGTCAGCTCTGCTCCACTACTTTTCCCCAGCTCATCTCCGCTCCGCTGCGATCCTTCTCCCTATAGGTCAGCACTGCTCCACTCCTTTTCCCCAGCTCAGCTCCGCTCCTTCTCCCCTAGCTCAGCTCTGCTCCACTCCTTTTCCCCAGCTTAGCTCTGTTCAGCCCCTTCTCCCATCCAGCTCAGCTCCACTCCAATCTGCTCCTTCTCCTCTAGCTCAGCTCTGCACCTTCTCCCACTCAGCTCAGCTCCACTCCAATCTGATTCTTCTCCTGCCCAGCTCCGATCTTGTTTTTTCTTTTCAGTCACACATTGTGGGCTTGGGAAGGGACCGGGTTATTGCACTCATTGGCTGAGTAGGCAGCAGGAGGAGGATCAACTATAGCTTCCGTTAGCCCCTGAGTCTCTCCATCCTAGTCCTGCTGACCATCCCTACACAGTTTCAGGCTGATTCCATGTTGCTGTGCACTGCTGCACCTACTGGCAGCTTGAAAGAGTTGGTATACTTATGGACACTTATTTCTGTCACAGAGATTCATGGACATTAAAAATAATGGATTTTAAAAAAAAAAAAACTGTCTGTGAATGAATGCACAGTTGACAACCCAGACTAAGGTGGGTGCGGGCAGCACATTCTCCATTGGATGCTGACTCTATAGGTGCCTTGGCTGCCAACAATTTTAGTTTTTGTTTCACAATGTTGCATTGTAACACTGCAACACAAAACAAAAACAAATGTTGGTTGGCTTCAGCATTTCCAGAGAGTTGGCACCCACTGCTTCCCTGACAGCGGCAGGGAACGTAGGCCTAGTTCACAATGACATTGAAAGCAGGCATTTGAGGGGCATTTGTAACGCTCCTCAAACACCTGTACAAATGATACTATGGGCAGCACACAGTGCTGTTCACATTAACAAAACATGAACCGTTAGCTTCAAAATTGAAGCCTTATATCGCTTCTGGAGGAGTTTGAAGTCTTTCAACACCTCCCATTCAAGTCTATGGTGATGCTCCACAAATGCGCTGGCAGGCATTTGTGGGGTGTTTGTAGTGCGGTTGTGGTGCATTAATAACAGTACAGATTATTATCGGCATTTGTGGTGCAGTTTTAACACTTGTAAAACACTTATAAAAAGCCTCAAAACCGCGCATAGGGCGCTTGGGGAGCACAAACAGGGCAGCAGGGGTGCACAAAATCACATGTATACATGCGATTTTGCATTTACCGGATAGGGGATGCGCGCATGGTGGCTTACCTGCGCCGCCTTTGGCGGCCTCGACTGTCAATCACCGGGTCTCTGCTGGTGATTCCCCGCTGGCACCCGGCGATCACCGGACAGAGGAGAGACCTCTATGTAAACAATACAGATCTCTCCCCTGCCAGCCCCTGCACACTGCTTTGTAGGGCTCTGCATAGCATAGCCATACAAAGCAGTGTGCTTACAGTGTAAAGCACACACACAGCCCCTAGTGAAACAGCACACAGTTAATCCTTTGATAGCCCCAGATGTTAACCCCTTCCTGCCCAGTGTCATTATTACAGTGTCATTGCTTTTTATTAGCAATGATCACTTTATTGGTGTCACTGGGGATGTCAGTGACACCAAGTCAGATCCCCCCCCGTGTCAGAATGCCTGCCGCAGTCCCACTATAAGTCACTGATCACCGCCATTACTAGTATGAAAAAAAAATCCAAGTATATATACCGCCATTTGTAGACACTATAACTTTCACATAAACCAATTAATTTATACATATTGGGATTTTTGTAGCAAAGACATGGAGCACAATACATTTTGGCTTAAATTTATGACGAAATTAGATTTTTTACATTTTTTTACTGGATATGTTTAATAGCAAAAAGTAAAAGATACAAAGTTTTTCTCAAAATTGGTGGTCTTTTTTTTTTATAGTGCAAAAAATAAAAAACGGGGCGATCAAATACCACCTAAAGAGAGCTCTATTTGTGGGAAAATAAGGACATAAATTTCATTTGGGTGCAGCGTTGTATGAATTGTCAGTTAAAGTAATGCAATGCCATATCACAAAAAATGGCCCGGTCAGGAAGGGAGGTAAATCCTCAAGTGGTTAATGCCTGTCTAACGCCCATACTAACACTAAGTATGAACAAGCCCTAAGGGAAGGCTTCTCCTCGACCCCAGTCATTTGACAGAGCCAACATGAGGACTTCCTCTCACTCTGAGCTGGCGCTGCATCTGGGCTGCAGATTTGGAGGTTTGTACTGGAAAGAGGGAAGTGTCTGTACTAAGAAGTCTATATGGGGAAGGGGGGTGGGGGCGTCTGCACTGACAGGACTGTTCTTGGGGAACTGGTGTCTGTACTAGGGTGTCTGTACTGAGAGGGGTAATGGTGTCTGTTCTGAAGGGTGTGTACAGGGAGGGTGTACTGAGGGGTCTGTACTGGGGGATTTCTGTACTGAGGGGTGTGTACAGGGAGGGTGTACTGGGGGATTTCTGTACTGAGGGGTGTGTACAGGAATGGTGTACTGAGGGGTCTGTACTGGGGGATTTCTGTACTGAGGGGTGTGTACAGGGAGGGTGTACTGAGGGGTCTGTACTGGAGGATTTCTGTACTGAGGGGTGTGTACAGGGAGGGTGTACTGAGGGGTATGTACTGGGGGATTTCTGTACTGAGGGGTGTGTACAGGGAGGATGTACTGAGGGGTCTGTACTGGAGGATTTCTGTACTGAGGGGTGTGTACAGGGAGGGTGTACTGAGGTGTCTGTACTGGGGGATTTCTGTACTGAGGGGTGTGTACATGGAGGGTGTACTGAGGGGTCTGTACAGGGGGATTTCTGTACTGAGGGTTGTGTACAGGGAGGGTGTACTGAGGGGTCTGTACTGAGGGATTTCTGTACTGAGGGGTGTGTACAGGGAGGGTGTACTGAGGGGTCTGTATTAGGGGATTTCTGTACTGAGGGGTGTGTACAGGGAGGGTGTACTGAGGGGTCTGTATTAGGGGATTTCTGTACTGAGGGGTGTGTACAGGGAGGGTGTACTGAGGGGTCTGTACTGGGGGATTTCTGTACTGAGGGGTGTGTACAGGGAGGGTGTACTGAGGGGTCTGTACTGGGGGATTTCTATACTGAGGGGTCTGTGCCAGTGTGCTGTGTGGGGAGTTGGTGTGTGCTTGGATTGTCAAAAATTACTATTGTTTGTATTGCTATTACAGTGTTGATGAACTACGCCCCTTTAAGCCCTTCCCACTGTTAGCGCAATGTGGCCACACCCACAATTTTCTGCAGCACACTCCAGCTTACTATTACTATGGATCATTTTTGTAGTGGGGGAGGGGGGGTTAGGAAATGTATCTGTCCTGGGTGCCAGATATGATAGGTATGCCACTGCCCTTGCCTCTCCTCTCCTAAATCTGACTTTTTTTAATTTCCTTTGTCAATTTCAGGGCACTCTAAACTGCGCCTTCTGGTGACACATGGGGGAATGAACAGTTTGATGGAAGCTGTGTATCATGGAGTTCCTGTTCTTGGGATACCACTTTTTGGGGACCAGAATGAAAACATGGTCAGAGTAAAAGCCAAACAAATGGGAACTTATATTCTACCTGGCCAACTTAAGGCTGACAACTTTGCAAACACCATTCAACATGTCATAGAAAACAAAAGGTAATTGTTGGCAATTTAATATCTGTCAGGTTTGCATTGGATAAATTACATTGGCTATCTGTAAAGATTGATATCCGATAACTGAGTCCAACACAGAGGGGTTGATTTGCTAAGAATAAGGTGAAGCAATAGATGTTAGACACCAAACTTCACCTAATTCAACCAATTAAGACCCTGCTGTGGTGAACGGAAAAGAGACTTCAGTTAGGAAAATGCTTTTTAGTAAATTTTGAATCGTGTGTTTACTACTTGAAACCACGCTGCACCTCCCCATGAATGTGGTTTTCATTTGGGGACATCATACTTATTGTAATCTGCATGTGCATCCTGAAATTTAACATACAATTCAAAGCTTTGGCATGGCAATCACAAAATTTTCATACAAAAAGTCCATAATGGTGCTAATGAATGCTCTGCCAAACATTTTTTCTGAAATTCCATAAAAATTTTCAGATGAAATTGTACTGGTGTATTGCTAGCTTTAGTGGACTGCACGAGCAAAGGGAAGAGATGCACATTTCCATTATCATGCTTGCTTGATTTTCCTGGATGATAGAAGGAGCCGTATAATGCACTTATGTTTTAAAGTTCTGTTGTAAAATTACTTCAGACAAATTGTAAAAGTCTTGTACTTAAACTTGACTTTATTTTGTTTTGTGTTCACAGCTACAAGACATCAGCAATGAAGCTGCAAGCCATTAGGAGGTCACAGCCTTTCCTCCAGACCAACAATTACTGAGATGGGTGGAGCACATCGTCCAATCGGGTGGAGGCGGTCATCTTCATCCCTATTCTTACAAACTGCCCTGGTATCAGTACTGGCTACTGGATGTCATTCTATTCCTCCTCATCATCCTCACCGTGGTCGTCTACCTCATTGTGACATTATTCAGAGCTCTTATTAGGAAATTATGTTCTCTAGGAAAACTAAAGAGGAACTAATGAAATGTGGCCTTGTATTGGACGTGAAGATGATTTTATGGTGCTCACAATATGGACACCTCAACTATCAGCAACATTTTGCAGCTGCAGAAAACTAACCTTCAGGGACATTGCTGTGATCCAAAAACTTACTGTGGCCATTCAGTAAAACTCAATGATTGATGTCCGTATCAGTAAAACAAAAGAATTGGAAAGACAAGCAAGACATAAATGGCATGGCCGAGCAATTAGGGGGATATGCCCCCTTACATTGCTGGTCAGTGGAGATATGCCCCCTTACATTGGTGGTCAGTGGAGATATGGCCCCTTACATTGGTGGTCAGTGGAGATTTGCCCCCTTACATTGCTGGTCAGTGGAGATATGCCCCCTTACATTGGTGGTCAGTGGAGATTTGTCCCCTTACATTGCTGGTGAGTGGAGATACGCCCCCCTTACATTGCTGGTCAGTGGAAACATTTCTTACATTGGTGTTTATTGTAGTAGTGCCTTAGATTAGTGGGAAAAAGGACCATCTTACACCATTGATGTGGGAAGACTGGCCACCTTTCAGACAGCTAAAAATAAGTGGTTACTGAGAAACAGAAATTGTTCATTGCTCAAGAAACTCCTAAGAACCTCATGAGGAACCCTAAGGATTAGCACAGCCTTTTTCAACCAGGGTGCCTAAGCACTGTGGGGTGCCTTCAGGTTTCTTCAGGGGTGCCTTGGCAAAATGCCTAAAAATTACAAAATAAATTGTATACAAGCCACCAGGTGGATAAAGCCTGCCTTTTAGTTATGCAAAGCCACAGGTTTTAAATGTGCACCACTGCAACCTTATAGCTGTCGGCATTTTAACAACCAATGACGTCATTTAGCACTAGCGTCACGTTAGCTGAGTGAGGGAGAGAAACTCAGGGAGAAGGAAAACATTGGCATACTAGTCATTGGTATACTTAGTTAATGAGCTACCCTAGTCAACACCTAAATCTGGCACCTCCCCACCCCACCAGAACGCCCCCCACCACCCTCCTCCACCACCGCCCATCACTGCAATCCCTTCTGGCTGCCGCCACCCGATTCAAGCACGAACCTCTGAAATTAAAGAAGCAACTGGCCATCCCCGCACCCTCCAGCAGTGCGCTGCCTCCTCGGATCTCATGGTGGAGTTGAGGTAGTGCCTCACCAAGTTCCCATCCCTGCCACTTGTGTCCCTTCTTCCTGGGGGCGGGCCACACCTCTGATATTTGCCACCCTAGGTATACGCATTCTTTGCCTCGTGGTAAATATCCCTCTGGTACTAGTCAGTACCAGTGTGCAAAGGTTCAGGGTTAATTTGCCTCTAACGTAGCATTTCCTACATGTGTGGATGTTGTTGCATTATATAAAGCTACTAGTTTATTTTTTTTACATTTTAGAATGGGGTGCCTTGAATGGATTCCATTTATAAAAGAAAATGTGAGAATGGATTTTCTAGGCACAGAAGCTCAATACACAAGAAGATAAAATCAATATTCAACATCACATCATATTTAGAAAGTATATGATAAAACATTGTTGTACAATGCACCCACAGTGAATATCCCAAGACCCACCAAACAGTCGTAATGATGGCAAACAATGGTTACAAAATGTGATTTCTGGAGAAAGAAAACTCCTCCTATAAGCTTTAACCATTGCTCTGCTGAAGTCACAAGACTGCTCTAACTGCTGATGAGAAAAGGTATTTAGCAGTTTATAGTTACTAAAATAACTGCAATTCCATGCTGTGTGTACTGCGGGAGACCAGATATAGTGAATGCAGAGTCTGGGGAGACCAGATATAGTGAATGCAGGGTCTGGGGAGACCAGATATAGTGAATGCAGGGTCTGGGGTTTAGTAATTGTTCTTTACATGAAACACATGCAATGCAATGCAAAAAAAAAAAAAAAAAAATATATATATATACCGTATATACAAAATATTGTTAGTATTTTTTTAATTAGAAAAAAAAAGTTGCATTTGCGTGACACAGACTTGTTTTATAAGCAAACTGAAAAACATGTCACAGCCCACAAATAATTGCTTTACAGCCTCAGACTTTGCACTATGGGAATAGTTATTCTTGGCACTTTCTTCCAAGAACACATTTGGTTTGGTTCAATTCAACTGTTGGAGTTGAATAGCATAATGCCAGAAGGGGCGTGGCTAGCATGCTGACCCCTCCCAGTCCTAGTCCTGTCTATGATCCCTGTACACACAGTGTAGAAACGACTTAGTTCCATCTGATTCCTCACTACAATGGCTGCATGTAAGAAGCAGACTGTGTTCCTCCTGGCCTTCACACTGCAGTTTCTCTGTATTGATGGGGCTAAAATCCTGACAATCTGCTTTGTTGGTGAGTCATTTTATATATATTTTCTACATAACATATTCATATAATCAACATGTTCAGATAAACTCAACATTCCTGAATCCTGAAAAACAAAAACGATTCCTGTGTTGCCCATACTTGTTTTCTGTTGCCCATGTCCTATGTTTTATGTACTTTGACACAGTTGAGGGAATTGTAGGTACTTTGTAAATCCAATACAACTGCATTTGTAAATGTAATCTGCTATTATGAGCAATTTGCAATCCAGAAATGATGTAAACTTGTATTTGAATCATTATCATATTTTCAGTGTTTGGATACCTTTTTCAAAGTAAGCATTTTTTGCTCAGAGTGCGGGGTGAACTATCTGCAATATGTACATTTATGGGGTGCATTTATAAAAAGTTCTGCAAGCACATTTGTTTTGTGCGAATTGGGCAAAATGAATGTTCTTTAGGCTATATTCTCTTCTGAACGAATGATGTTTTATTATGGGCAGTAAAAAAGTTCCACATTATAGTCACAATATGTAATAAATCCTCCTGCGCTGCTATGAATACTAGGACTAGTGAAACAGCAGCTAACATCCAATCCTCACCTTTAGATGGAAAATTAGATAAAACTAGTATGATAGTGATGTAGCGCTGAAATTGATATTATGACCCTTTTGTTAAATACAACACTGCTTCCACAATATTGATATCAATACAAAGTCAACCAAACTTATACTTGTGACATTTATAGGTGATTAGTGCAGTATAAATCAAACATATATATATCCAAGTGACCATTCCAACATTGCCGTGACACACAGTGATTCCCTATACAGGGATATGGGTCACCTTAACCTCCCTAGCGGTATGATTATTTCAGATTTTTGGTGCTGAAAGCGGTACCATTTTTTTGCATGGAAATATGTATTTTTTTTATTGTAGGCCTGTAATTTAGGAATAACTCACTGAAATCTTCCGAATAAGAGTCTTGTAAACATTCCGGATATGATAAAACTTGAAACACGAAATCATAAATTATAATTTAATAAATACTCATAAAAAAAATAATAATATAATAATAATACATTTAATTCAATAATATAATCAAACCAAAAACACTGAAATTTGAAATATAGCGCCAAGTTCGCACATCACTGAGCAAAGTCGCAAAATCGTTTTCAGTGTCTGATGACGAATTTCCCCCACGAATCATTATCACTCAATTCTGCAAGTAGTTCTGATTTACTATCGCTGTTCTCTAGCTGGTCTAAAACCGATTTTGACATAAAGGGACGCTTTTTGGACGCCATGGACGTTTCTCAGTTTCCAGGCAGAAAGAACAGTAAAAATGTAGGCAGGACACAGGACAAAGCAGTAGGGACAAAATGTATGTGAAAGGCTTTGATACAGGAATGTTTTGCTATGAAATAATCGTTTTGAAAAAAATGTAATTTTTTAAAAATTTTAAAATTTGCCGGCGCCCGTACATTCCGACGTCACAGGGACCGAAACACGGAAGCCAGATGCCGGCATCGGAGATGGCCGGGGACGCTGCAGGGGACGCATCGCGGGAGCGAAGGACAAGGTAAGCTCTGCAGGGACTCCCTATGCAGCGCTGCATGGTAAACCCGAGTGTAGCTCGGGGTTACCGCTTGTGGTACTGAAACTTTACCATGCGGCATTGCACAGGGATTCCCTACAGCGCTTACCTTGTCCTTCGCTCCCGCGATGCATCCCCTGCAGTGTCCCCGGCCATCTCCTCCGGCCGATGCCGGCATCTGGCTTCCGTGTTCCGGTCCCTGTGACGTCGGGACATACGGGCGCCGGAACCGGCGGCAAATTTGAAAATTAAAAAAAAATGACATTTTTTTTAAAACGATTATTTCATAGCAAAACATTCCTGTATCAAAGCATTTCACATACATTTTGTCCCTACTGCTTTGTCCTGCGCCCTGCCTGCATTTTGACCGTTCTTTCTGCCTGGAAACTTAGAAAAGTCCACGGCGTCCAAAAAGCGTCCCTTTAGGTCAAAATCAGTTTTAGACCGGCTAGAGAACAGCGATAGTAAATCAGAACCACTTGCAGGATTGAGTGATAATGATTCGTGGGGAAATTAGTCATCAGACACTGAAAACTATTTTGCGACTCAGTGATGTGCGAACTTGGCGCTCTATTTCAAATTTCAGTGTTTTTGGTTTGATTATATTATTGAATTAAATGTATTATTATTATATTATTATTTTTTATGAGTATTTATTAAATTATAATTTATGATTTCGTGTTTCAAGTTTTATCATATCCGGAATGTTTACTAGACTCTTGTTCAGACAGATTTCAGGGAGTTATTCCTAAATTACAGGCCTACAATAAAAAAAAAAAATACATATTTCCATGCAAAAAAATGGTACCGCTTTTGGTACAAAATTGCATCAAAATGGATATATACCATGCAAACCCAAGCCCCAATGGGGTTAAACATAGAATTTGATCCTAACTGTTTTATCAGTGATTTTTAAATTTCAAGTGTTTTATGAATTATTTTGTTAGCATTTTATATGTATGTACTGTATCAATCTGGTAACTCAGGTTTTTTTTTTTTCGCCTCCAGCAATATGCACTCTCATGAATATAGGATGTTATTATCAAGTTTTTACTATATTTTTTATTATATTTTATCATATATTTTTTATCAGGAAGTCCATTCACTTATTTTAATCATCTAATAAAATTGGTGTTTTTACATTTTTGTTTTCATTTTTTTTTATAGCATATATGCATTTAATCCAAGACTACCTCACATAATAGATTAATATGAATAACTAAAAACTTATCATGCAGAATATCGTGGACCATATAAGATCATACAGTATAGACTGTAAGGGCTCGTTCACACTTGACTGTTTTACCAACGCTTGCCAAACGCCCCTATAGCGTTTGGCAAACGCTTGCCCTATAGCGTTTGGCAAGAGTTGGTCTGGCGTTTGCAGACCGTTTTTTAACGCTCGGCAAACGCTCTGCAAACGCCGCATGCGCGGTTTAGCAGATTTTGCTAAGCGTTTGCCGAGTGTTAAAAATGCCTCACAAACGCCTAGAATGAAGTTTGAATGGTGTTACCGCTCCGCAAATGTCCCGCAACTGCGTCACAACTGCGCTGCAAACGCCGGCCGGGCGTTTGCGGAGCGGAACCATAGACAAGAATAGGGGGCTTCTTCGCCTCCTGACTCGTCCAGAGGCGTCCGTTTTGCTGCGACGCGACGCTACCGCACGTTAGAACAGCACCATGTGTTGCAATGTGCAGAATTGCCAGAGGCGTTTAGGAAGCGGTAAAAACAACGGTTATATAGTAATACAATATATACAGATTGGAACTATGAAAAAATGGCCGCTGTATATACTTCCCTAAAAACTATAAGAAAATGGTTTAATACAACAAACCATATGAATCAAATAGATGGAAACTACAAGAAAATAGCCGTGGAAATGTGTCCTAGGATTATTGGGACTTCAAAAAAATGGCCGCGTTAATCTGCATAAGGAACAAACCAATCAGCACCTGGATCACCTTATAAATACCAGGGAAATCACCATGACATTATCCTGATGAAGCTACAAGTGGCGTAATGCGTAGAAGCGACGTGGTGACGTGTGACGCACTTCCGATCCAGCGCCATCTTAGTACACCAGAGAGCTCTCAGTACACCCATGTGAGGTGACACAAGCAAATTGTACTTCTGCTGAAATGTGAGTGTGTACTTGGCGGTTTTCTTCCTATTAAACTTTACATACAGTGTTGCACTATGGAGGATCTCTGTTTTTCTATTGTATGACTCCAAAACATGATGAGTATATATGAGTATACACATTGCTACCTGGCCATGGAGGAATAGTGGAAGGTGGAGGAAAGTTCACTGAAGGTTGTGGAGTTTATCCTTGCCTGGAGAGATCATGTAGGGGATCCTGGGTGATCCGCAAGGCTTTTTGGCCCCTGTGGGTCGCAGGGGGAAGGTGAGCGGGCTGCCTGCCATATAGGAGTATTACTCACTACCTGCACCGGCACAGGAGCATGCTGTTTGTCATTGTTTGTGTGCTGTTGTTACACAAACTAGACACCGAATATTGTGGACATTTATATCACTGCTATTTATATAAATCACCTGTTTAAGGTGACCCATATCCCTGTATAGGGAATCACTGTGTGTCACAGCAATGTTGGAATGGTCACTTAGATATATATATGTTTGATTTATACTGCACTAATCACCTATAAATGTCACAAGTATAAGTTTGGTTGACTTTATATTGATATCAATATTGTGGAAGCAGTGTTGTATTTAACAAAAGGGTCATAATATCAACTTCAGCGCTACATCACTATCATACTAACATTATGGTCACAGGTTTGAGCTGAGGAACAGAGGAAATACATATGTCTTTGCACTAGTGATTACATTTATTTGCTAAAAGACAAATATGGATTAAAAAAAAAACAATTATACTCACCTAGGTGGCTGCAGCATCGATTCCAGCTGTCCCCTGCTGCCTCTAAGACTGAGAACTGAGCGATCAAACACCACTGATTCAGCCTGCAGAGATCCAGTGATTGTCAATTGCCGGCTCTCTGCTCTGCCCCTCCAGCGCTCACTGGAGCACTGGGCTGTGGAGGGGGCGGGAGTGGCTGACTCAGGCTGACTCAGGCTCCCAGCGGCTCACTGAAAAGCTAAGCCAGTTGCCGGTCCAGGCACCTGGGTGGATCCCGACCATAAAATCTTTCCCCAGCTTGGACCAGCTGAGAGACGTTAACCAACAGCAGACTTTAGCCCGCTGTTGGCTGAAAACAAGTCACAGGAGTGCAAAACAAACTGCACTCCTGTGATCCATAGGAGTCCCATAGCCAAAATAGCTTTAGCTATACTTTTCCTTAAAGTGGTTGTAAAGGCTCAAGGTTGTCTACCTTCATGCATTCTATTCATGAAGGTAAAAAAAATATTTTGTGTGCAGCAGCCCCCCCTAATACTTACCTGTGGCCCATCACAAACCAGCAATGTGCATGAGAGCCTCGGCTCCCTGGGGACTCTCCCTCCTCATTGGTTGAGCCAATGGCTCCCGCTGCTGTCAATCAGTCAGTGAGCCAATGATAGGAGGATTGGGGCTGTTCTGTGCAAAACCACTGCACACAGCAGGTAAGTATAACATGTTTGTTATTTATATTTAAATTTGCCTTTTATATCACTTTAAGCCTAGCCTAGTGCTGCTGCATGCCATGACATTGTTGTTAGAAGGAAGAGACTGAATTAAAAAAAAAAGCCCTAAAAAGGCACCAAACGCATGAACTTGTGTTTTTCATGCACTCCCATTGAATGTGTATTCTCCTATGCAGGTGTCCAGCGCACATGTTTTATGCACAACATTCACTGCATTAGGCTTCATGCACACTCTTGCTCTTGTGTTTATCCTACCAGGAGAAAAGCAGGTTCAGAAACTCGTCTAAGCCGTGTTTTTTCAAACTCGTATAGGCACATCAAGCACTTGGGCTTTTGTTTATTTCATTGGCCAGAATAATAATTTATTCTGCCCATCGATATGAAAAAAATGCTCAAGTGCTAAATGCGGCTAGCACTTAGGCACCTTTAAACATGTTAAATGCGTTAAGATGCGGCATGCTTTTTTTCTGGCTAAAAGCTCCTCTCCTGAACACAATTTTGGTGCATTCAGATTTCTGCCCCTGTTGCTAAACTCCTCTAAAAGTCCTTATCTGCATGGACACATAGGCTAATATAGAGTGGCAATTAGGGAAAACAGCAGTGTGCATGAGGCCTTAGGATAACCTATTAATTTGAATAAACCATCCAATGCACTGAAATCATGCCAAACAGGTGCCTTGGTGATTTGGCATCTTTGCCTCCTCATTCTGTGCACTATACTTTTCCTATTCCACACTGACTCATCCAGACTCTACTGTATTTAGCCATACCCATTAAGCCACTCCCAAAGTTCAACGCAATGCAAAAGCCAAACTCACTTTTGGGTCCACAATCTAAAGAGCACCTTCAAACATTTACGGGGCCTTTATTAGATATTGAATTTCCTGACATATCTATCCTAAAATAAAAATGTATATTTTTATACAAAATTGTAAATTAATAAGTTGTTTCTAACACAGCATGGGCATGCTTAGAATTACATAGTAGAACACATTGTGCTACCATATGTGTGAGACTTTTTTGCAGCCTAGTCACACAAAGGAGTCAAAAATCCAAGGGACACCTTTAGGCTTTCAAGGGGCATATATTACGCATCTAATCTCTTGACTACCCATAATATTTTAGGGGCCCTGGAGTACCAGAACAGTAGAAACACCCATACAATGACCGAGGTTCCCAGTACGGTTGCGATTTCCAGTGCGGGCGGCATGCCATTAGAATGAATGGCACCAGCCCACGGGTCCTG